TGAAGAATTTCTTCCTAATGTCCAGCCTAAACTTGCCCTGTTGCAACTTGAAACCATTCCCCCTGGTTCTGTCCCTAATTACCTGTGAGAAGAGACCAGCACCAACCTCTCTACTATGTCCTTTCAAGTAACTGTAGAGCATGATGAGATCCCCCCTCAGCCTCCTCTTTGTCAAACTGAACAGACTCAGCTCCCTCAATCGCTCCTCATATCCAGGTCCTTCACCAGCTTTGTTGCCCTCCTCTGCACTCGCTCCAACACCTCAATATCTCTCCTATACTGAGGTGACCAAAGCTGAAAACGATACTCAAGGTGCTTCCTTACAAACTGAAAGAAAATACACAGATATGAAGACTAAATGTATCAATTCCTCCCCCCACTTCCAGTTCTACATAATTTTGGATCTCGACGCATGATTTTGAAGCAACTCTTTGATCAATTGCTCGTGTTCTATGTAACACGGCCAGAGTTGTCCCTACAGCCATAGAGACTATTGATTAGACCTTAGATTAGACTTATTGATTGCTTTTTGAAAGGCACATTGAACCCCATAAAGGATTTTGGTTGAAAGTAAAGTTTTAGATGATGTTCAATGCCTCTCCTGGAAGACTGCCCACTCTCATGGCCCAAGCTACCTGTGATAGCCCAGCCAAGGCACCTGTCTATCAGTAGCATGGGTGAGGACAGCAAAGTTATGCTTTTTGTTTTTCTGTGTATATGACAAAACTAGTCACTTGCTATGATAACTGTTGTCTTTCAGCTAGAAAACAAGAGAACATCCCAGCCCTCTGGATTATCTGTTATCCAGGAAAACAGCTCAGTGAGCAAGCGTATCAGCTCTTATTAATCTTTCCATAAAATTAAAGAAATTATGGAGCTTAAGGCAGTCGCTAATGAATCAATTTTAATTTATGGGCTCAAATAAAATCCTCATTAAGGCTGACAAACTATAGCCTCAGGTAAACACAAAGCATTTCCACTACAGACCTAAATGAGTTCTGCGCTGGATGTTTTGGCTTCTGCCAGAAGAGCGGGAGGGTCAGGGGTCCCATGTCACATCAGAAGAGGCAGCATCTCAGAGAACGTAAATGCAGTGGTCTAACCCTTAGGAGGTCTCTTTCTGGCATGCAAAAGCATAAAAATCAAAGACTAATTATATTTCTCTCTTCTTTTTTTCTTTAAATAAATAAGCAGAGGATTTTTTTTCCATTGAACCACTGTTTGCTAAGTGGTTTTGCATCCCTAAAATACACAGAAGGTACATAGAGGTGCTTGTACCACAGAAGAAGGTGCAAAAAATCAGTCACCCATGGACCTGTCAGATGTGCTGCAGGGGAAGCATCTCAAAAGCTCCAACCCGTGTGTGTCTGTGAATCTTAACCTGAAAGATGCTGGCTGCAGTGGGCGGGGTCACTTTCTTCTCCGTGTGGTTGTTCAGCAAGATCTTTAGTGAGAATAATGTTTACTTTTGGAAAAAATATGTTGTCTCAGGAGATGCATCTGTGCTAGACAGAATGATTGAATAAAACTTAGCCACTTATAACTAATGCAAGCATATTGGCTGTGTAAGAAAAACTACTGCTTGAGGATTTAGACAGCTTATTTGGTGTTTTTTTTTCTTTCCACCAAGTGTTGCTTTGCATTAAAGAACATTATTTAAGATGACTTTTTGTGAAAGCACTTTATAAATATTTGCAAAATATATTTGTTATGCCTGCTTTAAAATACACAATGATTATTTTTTCCACAATTGTTGTTGATTTAGTCTTTGTATTTTGTTTGGTGGGAATGCTGGTATTTAAAACCTTAAATTGAGATCACTATGATGGAGTTTGGGTTTCAAGAATTAAAGGGCCATCTACCTGTAATTATATTTTTTTTCTTAAAAACTTCCTCTCAGTTTGGTTTTAAAGAACAACCTCCTGGTGCTGTTAGAGGGGAAGGGATTGTGCTATCTAGCCTCTTCTCTTTTGGCAGTAAGGTGATGAAGGCATTGGTGTTTGCCATCAGCCTTTGCTGGTGAGCTTCCCCAGCTGATGCTGAAGTCCTGGCTTCTGCATCTTCACTCCTGTTGGTGCTGGGGGAGCCACTCCACCTCTTGGCCTGTCCTTCTCTCTGGACTGTTCTCTGACATTCTTTTTTCTTGCTTTTCAGATGCAGTAATCGGACCCAATGTGCAGTTGTTGCTGGCCCTGATGTGTTTCCAGACCCTTGCCCTGGGACCTACAAGTACCTGGAAGTGCAGTACGAATGTGTCCCTTACAGTATGTATCTTGATATATTTACATTTTTTTCTTTGATAGAGATATGATTTATTGTGGAGACTGGGCCAGCCTTGAGCTTGTGTCTTGTTGCCCGAGGACAAGTAAACTCTCAGTGACAAATCATGTGCATCATGAAAGACTGAGCTGATAAGATATGAAAAATTGTTCTCTGTGCAAGGTTTATGCTTAGGTTAAAAATACCCTAAGTGCCCTATGTTTTCCTTGTACAATGTAACAGTGACATATCACTTTTTGGAAACCACTTGGGAAGCCCCGTTATCAAAAACACACCAGAAGATTGAAGCACTATTGCTGCCTTTTAGCTTCTCTTTCCGGAGTTTTATGTTTGTAATCATATAGCAGTGTGCTTTGACTGACCTATGCCCTTGTAATTGGTGATATTTGATAAATGCTTTGACTACAGTACTGTATCACTAGGGAGTTAGAAAGCTAATGTTTTGAGAAATTTGGTCTTTGATGGTAGAAAATATTAATCTATAAGATTCCAAAGTTATGAAGGCACATCATGGGCAAGACATTTAGCCTGAATTTTTGAGGGTAGAAAGACAGTCATCTAGGATTACAGCTGTTTGTGCTGAACGGGAAATGTCAGAGCTACAAAAAGTTAAACATACCTCAGAATTTACTTTCAGTAGAAATCAAATTTGTTAGACACAGTTACAGTCCTACTGTCAAAAATGGCATGCCTCAAAAAAAGAAGTAGCAACAGTAATACTAGGAGCGCACTTTTTATTAGCAGTTGTAAAGGGCTGAGTGGTGAATAATAACACTATTTCTAGGTTTTCAGTTTGAGTAGGCCAAATCTTGTAGTACATCTCTCAAAATAATAAAGCAGGTATGAGGGTCGATGGTTTTGAGCCAGCGAGTTGTACTGAGAGAGCAGCAGGAGACTTCAGTTTGCTGAAACCTGGGATTTGGCTCAAGGACTAAGAGCATCTTCTTTGTTGCCTTAAGCACGGGCTGCAGGAGAGCAAAGGTGGCTGAGAAATGACAGACACGCTGGCGGGAGGGGAAGCAAGAGCTCACAACCCCTCAGGTGGTCCCTGTCCTTTGTGCAGGAGGTGGTCACCTCCTGCCACTATGACATGGAACAGCTGTGTGGGGTCTTGCTTATTGTGAAACCTCAAGGTGAGGGATGCAACTAAGACCACCTCTCCAAGCAAAGGGGACGCTCTTTCCAAAGGGACTTTGTCTTTCTGCTGGCAGGGAGCTCAATGTGTCCATATTTGATTTTTGTAAACAAAAATGTGAAGTCTCTAAATGCAGTGATGGAATTTTTTAATGGGGTAAGCTATTAAAGCCATGGAAAGGGTGACATCGGGGCTTAGAGTCTGCCTGAGTGAGCTCGTACCAAATTACTAGTTTGGAGTTATTCGGCTCTAAATGAGGTCTTTCATTTTACAACACTGTGCATGAGGAGGGTGAGGGGAGATTGGTTTCTACTTATCATAGTGGGTTGTATTTCCTTGTGATTTGTGATTTGCATGAGGTATGCCGTTCCCTCCTGAGACTGGGCTGGTAAAGCAATAGTCATTACCTAGTACCCCTCCATAGCCTTTGTTGCATATAAAACAAAGAGGAATAGTGGTGCCTTGTGAGAAAGGTAATATGTGAATATTATGCCCCGAGGTGTTAATCGGCCCTGTGTACAAGATGTAAAATAACTCCTGTGTGAGGTTTCTCGGTACCAAATGTACAGTAGTCATTGAGTAGGCTTTAATGATCTGAAGGTGGGGAGGAAAATGACAACAAGCCATGCTGCCTTTGCAATTAAATTAGTTGCTTTGATGGCTGTTTCCTCCGTTGGTTTATGAGTCAAATATAGTGCCTCTGTGAGTAGAATTATTGGGGAGAGGGGAGAGGAATGAGGGGCAAAGACATTATGAAATAGGATCCCATCTCCTGGGCTTGTTGTTCTGCATTACATAGGAAACTTGGGTCAAATCTTCATGCACTGTTATTTAGTGTAGCGCTACGGAAGTTGGTTCTGTTTGGGCAAACTGTGTCCCTCTGTTTGCAGATAACGAGTGGGAAACCCAGGGCTCTTTTTATTCTTCTTCTACCATACTCTGTCTATCTTTCTTGCCACCTCCGTTTCTTCCCTCTGAAAATGCTCAGCTCACTTTTACAGATGTTCCTTGTCTGGGCCACAGGAGTACCCCATGAGTGAAAGCCATCCGAGCGATGGGGAAAGTGTCAGCTCTGGACAAGGAGGTCAGCAAGGGTGTGCTTGGACCAAAGCTATGCCTGGTGAATGAAATCTGTTTCCCCCTTGGTGTCCTCAGTGATGCCTCTGCCATTTGCTGTGGGTCAGTTGGTGCCCTTGGGTTCTTGTCACTGAACCCATGTGCTTCAGCTCCTCTAGCCAGATTTGGAGTGTTGCCCAAGTCCTTTCAGGTCCAGCTTCCTTAGCATTGCTAGCCACAGGCAGACACCTTGTGCGGTGCTTCACCAGAGGAGGGGAGCGGGCTCTACAGGCTCCCCAGTGCCACTCGCTGCTGGGAAAAACCCTTCCTCGGCCGCTGGCATTTCCTCAGTGGTGTCATGCACCAAGCCCTTGGTGAGCGGTTGTGTCTGCCATATGGCTATCTCCTTAAGAAACACAGCAGTTGAATAACAAAGGAATTAATACTTCAGCAGGCACTTGTGTGCAATTCCAGCTTGATTCATCTAGTTGGATGGGTTACTCCTTATGGTTTCAAATTATTCCTTATGGACAGAGAGAGACAGTTTACCCACATGCTGGGTCAGCAGCAGAGGGGAGCATGTGTGCATCTCAAGAGAGCAATGTTTAGGAGTCATCTTTAACAGATGTTAGAACTGACCTTAGGTGCTCGTGCTCAATATGGTGTTAGTGTATACACTCCCTTGGAGAAAAATTATGGAAGATTTAAAACTCCGTTGGGTATCCTAGTCCTCTTGTGATATATTTATTTATTTGTTTTAACTCTTGCACCATTAATTTGTATCATTTTCGAGAGGAAAACATCCCCCTTTCCTCTCAGGAGGTGAAAGAAGAAACCTCTTCTAACTTCAGTAGTTCATATATTTTACAATGTCCTTTAGATTACCCTCCACACTGCATTCCTGTGTTCACTAGAGATCCTCCTGACAAGAAGAGTTTCATGAGACATGTGAGAGAGACAACACGTCATTATGCAGATAAGCCTGGTACTCTACTCATTAGTCCTGATGCTGGAGTCTGTTTATTTGATGGTAGATGCTGTCTACAAAAAATGGACAGTCATTCCAAGGACCTTTGGGCTCTTTCTGTTGCCCTGTGACAATAAAAAGCAAGTGAAAAACAGGTTCTTTCAACAGGTGAAGAGATACCAGGCCTAATTTGACAGGCTACAGTGGCATCTGTTGTCCTGTTTTTCTGGTTTCAGAAAAAGTCACCAAATTAATTTTGTTGTTCTCAAAGCAGGCCTTGGCAAGTGGTGGTTATTTCTCTGATGCACCCTTTTTCCCTGAAATACCAAAATTACTACTCCAATTTTCTTAAATTGAATTTTCATTTATTCTTTACTGACCAAGAGAGCTTTTCCACGGTATTCTATTAAATATAATAGAATCATAGAATCATTCAGGTTGGAAAAGACCCTTGGGATCACTGAGTTCAACCATTAACCTTACTCTACAAAGCTCACCCCTAAACCATATCTACTACTGCAGACCTGGAGTTTGCCATTGCCAGAGCTTTGGACACACGGCACATTGTAGAAAGATGCCTGAAACTGCATTTTGGGCTGCATTATGCTGTGTGTGAGTATGAGGAACCTCACTTTGTGAGGGTCCTTTTGATCCAGTACTGTGTTGTTATTTTCTAGTGCATCTCTTCCCTCTCCCCTTGTTCCTTGCAGAGCAGTGTTAAACAGATAATGGGAACAACAGTGGCAGAGGTGGTTTCATGAAGCTAGGTCAACACTCTCGTTGCAGAAGCACTTCAGTATTTTCTGGTGTGTGTACAGACCTGTTGTCATGGTGCCAGTACATCTAGGAGTGTAATTTTTCTTATTTCACTCTTGTACTGTGTTAAGGGACTTCCCATTTTACTCATGAGCCAGCACAAAATGCAGATGAGTGATTTATCCAGTGCTGACATGAGACTGGTGACAAGCAAGAGAGTCCAATTTTGCAAGATACAGTGGTGGTAGGAGAGTTGCTGAGCTAGTCGTCATTGTAAGCAGACAGATTTTCTATTGATAATCTGATATATCCGAACCAGAGTGTTGATTTTCCCTCTGCAAATACAGCCTTTCTATGCATGTAACACTTTACAGCTCAGACTATCCCAGTTTTAGTAGCCTTGCATGTATTTATGAGGTTGATGAAGAGCAAGAACAACCCACTCCCTTTGCTCTCCCAAGCATGTGTCCTCTGTGGGCCATAGTGCTGTCCTTTGAGGGTGACACCCCAAGTTAGAACAGGGAGTGATTTTCCTACATGTGAGCAGCTCTCTTCCATTGACTTTGACTGAAATTTAGGGATTGGCTGCATTTAGATTTTATTTTGGTTTTGAAAAAGCTGCGAGTTCGAAGCATGGAGGTATTTCAGAGTGCTGCTTCTGTTTGTTTCCCCACTAGAGACTACTCTGCAGCCTCCCGAGGGTCCAACATGGTGTTGGAAACAGAGTTTAGCTAGCTGAGTCAAATTTATCTTCAGTTTTTCCTGAAGTTTCAACCCTTAGGTTCTGGTTTTTGGAGTTCACAGAATAACTTGTGCATTGTTGTCCTTCAGAAACAGTCTGATTTTTAATAGAGACTTGGAAAATTTAAGGTATAGGGCAGAGCAAAATGGAGAAAAAGGTGGGGGCTCAATGAGGAGACGCCCATTGCTGCACTGATGGCAAGGATGGCAGCAGCAGGAGGGATCGAGGCATGGTATTATCCCTCTGCCATGGTTACTTGCTTCACATCCAGGGAAACAAGTCTTCCATCAGCTTCTAGTATTGCAGAGATCTCTTCAAAGGGCTGTTT